CTTATGATTATTAGTAGCATAATATATCTTCAGAATAGGCCAATGCCACTATTGGGATTTCACATCGCAGAAAAAAAATTATCTTGAGTTTCTGGCTAAATATTCCTAGGGTTAACCATTGAAGCTTAATACATAAAATAATTCTAAATAAAAGTACTCATCGTTTCATTTGGATTCCTGCTGGAAATAATTTTTAGTTTGATGGATTTTTGGTGCAAATAGTCAAAGAAACAGCCCAACGTATACCCCGTCTGTGCTGAATAGGCTAAAAGAGATGCTTACTTGCTTAGAATTCTGGATTTTTCACTTTGGATATCCTGTTAGGGACAATGCCTTGAGATAGCAAAATTACGTAGACATAAATGACTTGGCTAATTATCGCATTTAACAGGTACTTTTAAGGTTAGAATATACCAAAAAGCACAAATTTGCAGTAAAAGATATATTTTTAACTAGGTTGGTGGGATTTCATTCAAAAAATAAGGCCCGGATCTTTTATAATTAACTGCACGACTCAGTTTTACGATTCTTCAGTTGGATCCTTTGACCGTTTATTTACCTACCAGAATAATTTTAACTGAAATTTATAGTTGCTGATAGGAGTTATAATTACGCAAACTTTTAGTAAAAACGATCAACATAATGCCAGCTAAAGTCGAAAACAATGTTTTTTTGGTTGAATAAATATTGTTATGAATTATTTAGAATTAAGAAAGGTGTCTGAACTTTTGCTCCTCATTTTCATCTTAGTTACAGAACAAGTTTAGCAGATCTGTAAAGTGCTACGGGCTTCCACGGTTTGCTATCAAAAATGGGCTTGGCCAAAAAATTAACAGACATAAAACATACTTACATTATATTCTAGTTTTGTGATGGCGACATCTAGTATAATCAAAATTTTCGGTATTATATTTATCACTGAACAGAACCTAACATTGTTGTTAAAAAGGTTTACATTACGCCTTAAAAGCGTCAGTTAATATGCCCGACTGGCCGATCCATTGATGTCGCGACATTTTTATTATTGTTGGAGGACAATATATATAGCAAGCAGATCTTTCCGAACGGGTTTAAATTGCGCTCGAATATATCTTCTCCTGATTCTGGAAAAAGATGACTTTAACCAATATATTACGTAAACAAACGTTCAAGCCAAAAAATAATGTACTTGCGGAAACGCGTACAACGTGAAAAAAGAAATTAGACGAGTATAATGTCATAGGCAAACATTCGCTATCCACATATCCCTATAACTCGAGATGTGGCCTATGTCATTTGGCTGAATTTTCGAGGTCACACACGTAACAGGAAAGCAATGCCAAAATCGTATTTGCCCTATTTCTATATTTGAAAAATTAATCGATATGTTTGTTAGAGTAAATCTGCTTAAGTATGATAGAATCGACAAATCGTATATTGTGGTGCTTGTCGAGAGTTTGGAAAAAATCCTAGCGAGCATTTTGTGTTTGACGCCACTTTTGCACTATCCCTTAGTTAAACTTCACAGGTGTTTCTGAGAATATATCTCTATATACCTTTGGCCTTAAGAGTTTTGCTTTATTCAAATTTAAAGCCTCAGAGTTCGGGTACCAATCCATATGCAAGCCTTGAATTACTCTTTACAAGACTTGATTATCTGCAATAATCCTACCACATGCATTAGCTTGACCAATAAAAACCTCTGGTACAACATCTGTGCAGCATTGAAGCTTCATACAACTTTTACTGGGTACAACTAATGATATCGTTACTCGAATATTTCGTGGAATAGCTTTCCCAATATATCTATTATGGGTTTTGAAGAAAAAGTAGAAATAAGCTTGGTACATTTAATAGTACCTTAGGTAAAATGACAGGTATTATATCCTTAAGACAATCAGGTTAAGACGGTCCAATCGTGACTTTTATTAGTCTAATCATAGTTCACTATTTTTTATTTAGCGTTAATGAGCTCCTGTCTATAATAGTTATCTTCATCGAACTGGGCTTTGATATCTTCACGTGGACGTGCGCCCGATATTTTTTAGACTGAAACATGTGTTCTTAAGGCTAACTCAGAACCCGTTTCTAATGGGCCCCAATTAAGGAAACCGCTCAACAGTGCATCTTGGAGCCAGTTAAGAAACATCAGTCGGCGCGTGCATTAACTAAGTAAATCAGCTTTAGGATTATGGCTGTTTCTTTAATTTCACAGACCGCTAGCTTAAAATGTTTATTTCACGGTAAAGTAAATCATTTACGCGTTGTTTATTACTTTATATAATTTATAGGAGCACCGCACCATCGCTACTAGATCCGATTCTTACTCTGGTTGACACAGTTGCAACTAGTGACGCGTATGCACAGTATTTGTACCACGAATACCTGCTAGCCTAATCTACTAAGTCATTCGGGAACAAGGATAAAGAATTATCTATAAGGAGCGAGTCGCCAGTTTCAATGTCGCGGTGTCGTTAAAAACGTTTGCTTAAAGCAAAGCAAGTAAAGCGTATATTTCTGCTACCTTAACGGTACGTTACGGACAAAATTTTCCAAAGATGAGATAACCGCAGCATGTCGTTACGTGTGCTTAAGGCCTTAGCATCTTCTATAGGATAGTCTGCGATCAAACGTTCCATGCGACTTCAGTTCAGACAAACAGCTGAGGCCCCGCAAGCAAACAATTTAATTTAGCTTCTTGTCTCCACGATGGTTTGGAAGCTACCAAGTGCAATAAAGGTAAACCATTCCTTTAGTAGCGTTCTAACGACAGAGCCTAAAATTTGTGCAATCAACGTAATAAGCTTGCCAAGATTAGCATTAGAAAATTTTCAGTCCTATTATTGAAATTATGAAGTTAGTAATTAAGAATAAGCTGGTTTATTTAAAAAAAAAAAAAAGTTATCCTAATACTGTTGTACCTGCAGCTCTTATCCCTGTCCATATAGCATAGGCTGTTCCAACAGAAATCCCACTTGAAGTTGCAGAAAGGCAGTTAACACTTAATGCTCCAAAAAAAGTTACAGATAGTACTGGCATCAACCTTGTTAGACCTTCATGATATTTTGATGTAACGGTATAACGAGTACAGGTACAACGAATATACCTGCTGAAATAAGAGGAAACCAGCACATCGCATTACCCCTTTCTTCAATCTACTTAAGATGTTATCGCTACTATTGCACATATCCTTAACTAGCTGCTCTCACTCGTGGCAGTTATTGTCTTCAGTTCACCAGATACTTGTGAAGATTACTGAGGAGATTAAGTTCCTCATGTTCAAAACCATCTCGAGCTGACTCACATTGGACCTTTGCTGCCTGGTGATTCAAACGCCTGGCTTTGGAAAACTTTGTTTTCAGTTTACTCAATCAAGGATACGCTTACTCAAAACAGTTATTCGACTATTTAATTTAAATTAATTTAAATAGCAGCTAGGTACATTATCCGTTTAATTTGGGTGTAATTCACGCGAGAAAAGTTTGAATGGCTTGCATTAGCTCTAGGCTTCCTTTCCCGAAAGGTCTTAATACTCACCAATAAACACGATTGCCTATTCGCCAATACGAGACTTCTAGTTTAGGAAGTTACCAAGACTGTTCTAAATTTAACTGAGAAGCGGAAATTTTAGATATTGATTTGGATTTTTACGACACCCAGTCGTTGAGAAATCAGACATGTCTGAAATTCTAGTCGCCATTAAATATTACGACATGTGATAAATAGGTTGCACGATATTATTCGTGAACTTTGCACCAAACTCTATCTGATGAACTCTTTTTGAGGTGAGCCACCTTCAATATAATTGTCGAAATTCCGTAGATAACGGAGCAAATTTTGACCTACTGACTGAAATGCGCCCAAGCTCGATTCGATTTATCGTATGTACGTTATAATGTGGTTGTCCTTAAGCGTACGTACAAAGTATACGTGAGAGCTTTACGCAACCTAGAAATCAAAGAAGCTATACCCTTTACGTTCTGGGAAGAAGTTGTGGAGGCATACCTCGAACTAGACCGTACTCGAATAGAGTCAAAAAAAATTACGAATATACAAATATCTCTTTATCTTAGACAACAGCTAAATTGATTTTAGTTGTGTCGATAATTAATTTTAGAGGTTCGTTAAACTAAAACCGGAATCAATAGATGAGTTTCTTTCAAAATTGTATTTATACTACATTTATCCTAGGTGGGATAATTTTTTTTACCTCTAACAGTCTTGGTTATGGGATTTAGATTGGAAAACTGATGTCGTACAAAAGACGTCCACATTGGTTTCAAATAAAAACATATTTTCTAGTTTTGCTAATTTGTTTTTAGTTTTTCGTATAGTTCTCCTTTCACACCTGTGTTTAACACAGCTTCACGTTGCTCTCACTGTTAATACATCAAAATTAGAACACTTGAAAGGAGGGACCCTGGATTGTTGGCAAACGCAAAACAGCCTGTCCACTTATTCTTGACGATCGCTATTAACTAACAAAATATCTTCTAATTTATGTAACGATGCTCAAAATAGCTCTTTTGAAAAGTAAAACTGTTTCATGAACGATTGGTTAGTAATTCTTCCTATAGCTTGCATTGAGCATTATACTGTGTTGTTGTGTAGGATGGAACAAAGCTCACTAGCAGATATGGTTAGGGAATTGGATGGCAATTCTACTTTAATTCAATTGAGGATCCTATCTCACAGCCCAAGAAACTAGCGTTACACTTTTCTATCTATGTTTTGACAAAATTGTTCAACAGAACATACTAAGCCAAAAGTTCGTTTATGAATAGTGATCGATTATTGGTACATTTATTGCATTCGGTATACCTTTCTCCCAGGTGAGCTTCATTGGAGCGCAAGATATGGTCACCTTTTACTGTCCTCAATATTCCATTTTGACTAAATATCTATGGTCAAATATCGGAGGCCGTATCAGTTCTGAAGTACTACGATGGTGGATTGTGGGAAATAATTTTCTGACGTACCTGGCATTTGAGGGGTGTACTGAAAGTATCGCACCTCCATGACGTATCGATGCTTCCGGGCTGCGCAGTGCCACCGATTTCTATTTCGCAGCTTCGATCAGCTGGCCGTTTAAAACAAGAAGATATTAACTCTGCTTGCATGACTCATTGAACCTGCGAAGGGTACAGCTCCAGCTTAAACAGGAAACATAGAAACACAGAACAATCAGGGGTAACGTCGTCAACGCGCACAGTGCAAAAAAAATGTCCATCCATGGTGTATTCTTTTTTCCTAGATATGAACCGTGTAATACCGGCTAGCTCCAAGGTTTCGCAGTGATGATGCAGCCGACTAGGCCATATTTGTCTAAAGAAAATGCAGCGTCTAAGTCAGCCGTTTCAACACAACCAAACGTCCTTTAGTTTAAAAGACATGCTTGCCTAGTAACAACATCGTACATGTGTGTATATATGGCATTGCCATGTTGGGAGTGCTTTATATATTAGTGAATTGCATCGTTTGATTGTGTGGAAATAAGAGATCGCTTACCTGCGATGATGTGGCAGAAAACAATTGTTTTCTATAAATGTTAAGTTTATCCACTGCACGTACACAACGCTAAATAGAATGCGTTTTGTTATTCATTCATTACTATGGCTGTTGTGTCTTCGACAAAAACATACACACACAGACGACATCGACCGTACACTTCACTTCACCGAGCAACTTTTTTTTGTTCCCTTTTCATCGACGGGACGCGAGGGCCCAACAGACGTACAGCAGGCTGGTGAGAGCTTGAAGCCAGTTTCCAGATTCTAATATCCGACTAACTGTATTCCAGAGCTACGAGTTAGGGTACTGAGATCACGGAGGCGCTCATGGGGAAGCCACGCAGTGCTCTTCTACTAAACGTCGTCGTAGTAATGGTATTCCTTTGCTTTAAGCAGAATAAAAATTGAGAAACGACAAACACTCAAATCCACAAAGACACATCCAGCACAAAGTACCAGCGATAGTAGGCGTAACTGTATTACCGCCAATAGTCTCGTATGTAACGTTACTACTAATGCTGGCCTACCGGTGCTAGTCCTCTGCTACTGAGTGAGCGGCTTTTGCTAGCCATCACCATCGATGCTGCTATCGGAGCCGAGTCTCTGACCAGCCGTCTCTTACTTGGAATGAGCATGCGCACAATATCACCCCTATTGGCGGCCTGCGCGCCTTGGATGGCTGGTTAGCTCCTATTTGCTTGCTAGGCTGGCTTTCTTCGTTCGCTGCAAGCCGCCGCTCTTCTTTGGCCAGCTGAAGCGGCCTGGTCTCGCTAGGAGCTCTCTCGTCCCGCGGCCTCTCGCTCCCGTGCTTTGCTGGCTCGGCTGTTCGGAGGCTCCGATTCAGCGAAAACGGACGGGCACCAACTCGCCTGAATCGGCCCACAAGCAAGCAGCCCAGTAAGTCGAAAGCGGCGCCAACGGAGGGAGATCGCAGTGGTTGCGGTTATCGTTGTATTCTTCCACAGAGACAGAGAGAGAAAATACTCTAAAGAGAAACAGAGAGTGGATGGCCGAGAATCAGGATCCCTGTGTCGCGCTGTGTACATGTGTATGTCGATGTGTGGGCGTTGGGATACAGCTGGAGGCCATACTGGTCCAGACGTGCTCAGTAAAAGATAGCAGAGTTTTAACGCATTCGCATACAGCAATTGTGTGAGACGAAAATGGAGAGAAGGAGAAATGCGGGGAGAGAGCCAGAAGCGAGCTCGAAAACAGGAGGTAGATATGGATACACGAAGAACAGTATTGCCCATTTGCATTCCCTTCTGTACTGATGCTGCCACGGACAGCTGTCGTAGGCGAAACCGCTATTATCTTTGCTGCTCCCTGCTAACACTCCGCCAATTGACTCGTGTGTCTCAGCCATGTCTTGCCCTTTTTGGAGCTTGATGCACTTACTCTGCCTGTCACATGTATGAGTGGCACACTGGCTATGCTCAGCAGGGATCGTCGGCGGTACCTTCTGTGAACGTGCGTCTGGGTTATGGGATGACAAGTATATTAGAAGGGAACTAGAAAGGGGCACTCAGCGAGTAGAGCAAGTCTAAGAAAGTTTGAATGGCAACGAGAAAAACAGTACTAAACAGTAGTAAACTAATATGTTGATTCCGCTTTAGAGAGCGTCTAGAGTAGCCGCCACAGCGTCTCGAAGACACATTACAGCCACCAATAGGATTGCCTCTTTCCGTTCATCGTTGAAGATCATAATTGGACAAAGAAAGAACAGCTAAACGACATATTTGTTCCTTCGGAATGTTTTTAATAAGGACATGTTCGTCTGCTTCGTTAGAAATATGGCTAGCCTTGGCTGGTGGCTAAGGGCGGCCTCTAAATGTGGATAAGAAGAAAGACTTGAAGACGGGGCAGCGGTAGATTTGTTTCTTATTTCACATAAAACAGCATACATCTAAAGACCAGTATTTCGCAGCGCACTCAAATTAAACGTTTCATTTTTATATATAGTTATGGTTTCAAATTTATTAATCTCGCTCACTTTTTTTTTAGCTTTATTACGCTATAAACAATTTCCCTGTCCTAGGGAAGTATCAACGAACGGGCAATGTAACGTTAGTTATGGGCACAATGCTATTATCATCTCTCTTAAGCAGAAGGTATTCAATTCTGAACTCCACTGGTATTGATTTTATTTCTGAGTGTTTTATATCTGAGAAAATATCAAGTCAGAATTTCGCGGATTTTTACGAGATCTCGGGTTTTTGTCCACACGAAGTTTATCGCTACTTCGCTTTTAATAAAATTGCTTTTTTAACGCACTTGTCGCTTATTATGTAAATACGTTTTGATATTAAAAAAAAAACATGAGTATTGTTCACGCATCAATTTACCGTAACCTTTTGCGAACGGATTTTGGAGCATCCATTTAACTATAGAAAGGTCGAATTATATGATCCAGTGAAAAAAGTGTCTTTAACTAATATTTTTCCAAAAATAAAAAATTGCAGTGAATTCATTTAGGCCGCATTGTAGAAACATATTTGACGAATATAGCGGTACAATTCTTTTCCTTTCCGTGGCACCGGTTACTTTCAACGTGGACATTACATACAGCTTGTTCCATATGGCCCCACCCTTTTCCATGTCAATAGTGATTTAAAAAAGTTATTATTCTAATTATTATCGATATAAAAGTTATACTTCACTGCATTTATCAATTTTGTGCTGACGCGCTTACAAAGCCTTTCCTTGTTAAATATATCTGCATTCATCAACTTCTATGAGTTATATTTGAAAATTATATACATGCAACTATGTTATCAGTGTTATTAAAAATATGAAAATTTCAAACTCAAATATTTATCCCTACGACGTAGTCAAATTAAAATTACTCGCCGGACCTTATTTTAGAAAACGAGATGATTACTCACTGCGGTTCCCAAAAGCTAAATATAAATTAAGGCTTAGGCCAGGGGAAGTTCAAGTATGAACATCTTTAAATGAAAGCTTTCTAAAATAAGTCTCTAGCAGGACGACAGTAACATAAGAAAAAATTGTTTGTACGGTAAGAGAAAGATTAAGGTAAGGATTTCTCGTAAGAAAAAAAACCGACAGATAGCTGCAGTTTTATTTACGGAAAGAAACCAATTATTTATTTATTGATATTTGGAGATATATATTTGACAAGAACTAATCATTCCTATAGCGCTTATATTTGAAGAACATTCCAGTGTGAATTATCTTCATTTAAACAGTTTATCAAGATCACATTTAAGGACCAAAGAGCTTAACTCATGCATGCTCATGAAGCTGGAAATGGAATTGTTTCCAAAGCGACTGAAGTTCGAATTGAAGGTTATCCGTATCTGAACGCTACTAGATGTTTGTCTAAAGTGCCTAGAATATGAGTGCAAAAAAATAAATTATCTTTAAAAAATCTAGAGATCTTCAATTTCTCAATAGGTTTGAGTTTAATCTTCGATTAGTGTTTACGGTGCTGGATGATGCGTAAATTTGACATGTCCGTCTGTTCCTATTCGCGCTAGCTGAGTCTCTATCGATAAAATTAATATTTGAAGTGGCCGATGGCTACAATTGGGATCAGCTACGTGTCGCTAAGGTACCGTCTATAGACTCAGAATATGAAGGGGCAAAACTTGTTTGTGTCACTGATGTCACACAAACCTAAATATCAAGAATTATTCATATGAAGCAAAAGGGATACCCTAAAATCAAAAAAAAAAAAAAAAAAAGTACACCGGTACTCACGGCGCGCTAAATGGACGCCTTTAGTATCGACCTCAGTAATACAAAAAGCAATACGTGACTCCTATAAGAGATGCCCCTATAGTAAATCTAAGAGGCTTATTCTATTTGTCGACAAAACTCGAGCTTTCTACTTGAAAATATACTGCCAATTAAAATGTAGATTGAAGCGACCTAAGGTAAATCATTTGTTTATGGGTTGAGTAGAGAAGAAGATAAATTTATGTTAAGCTTTAACTACACTGTGAAGACACGTAATGCATTTACTATGCCCGAAGAACCTAAGCGTTAGGGTTCGCAAACATGGGTATACAAGCACGATATGTAAAATGAAGTCGCATAGTATACAAACTCACACAGATATTTATTCTTTATCTATCTTTTTTTTTATGGCTATACAGTTTATTCCCTGAACTGACATAACACCTAGGGCACAGGTACATCATACAAGTAATAAAATGAAATGTCTGCCGACTGCTAAAATTATACGTCTTCTAACTTTGTCACATCGCAATCACTCCATAATTATTTGAAGAAGAGTTGTGATCCAATATAGCATAAATTTTAACTTATTAGCAGTAACTTGAGCAACTTTATTATCGGACTATTTCATGAATCGTGTAGGTTGAACGTGCCGGTCTGGCTAAGGCGAAGATGGTCATAAACACTGTGACTTTCAGCATAGTTTAAGTCAACATTGATATAGTGATATGACGTAAAGTTAGGCTGGAAAGTATCATGACTAATGAGGTTGATGTTGGCAGCTCCTCCAAAGAAAGATCGCTTGCGAGATGGCTGCAGCTGTAGTTGAATTTGAGCTTCGCGAACGTCTGATCCTTTCATCATGATTGTTCTGTTTAGTCACAAAGTAGAAGAAAACCGACATTGTTATTAATGTTGTGCGTACATATATATAGTTAACGTCAAAAACAAATTGAATGCAATCTAACATCAATTACGTTTTGGTTTTTAACATGTATTTGCCGAGCCTTACTTTTCTGTAAAAAAAATTTCTTATCTGGCCAAATTTTATTTACGGAATTGATAAATAAAATTTATCTTCTCGTTCTATTCGGAGCCATATATTGTATGCGCGAAGCTTACTTGCTTTATAGATAAGGATCTCTCATTTTATACACAAAGAGACTTTGTTTAAAGATTTCAAACCAGCTACTTTCCGATTAGCTGAAATCTGCTAATCCTGAGTTCTGGTGACCCTTTCATAAAACACGTGCAAGAGGAAAAGTTTTCTTTCGGAGTAAAAGTCCTTTTGTCTAGACATTGTCAAGAATATTTTTGTTGGTAATAAACACGGGCTGCTAATACAGGTTCCTATATGTCAGCATGCAACAACGCAGCCGGTGACGAAATACGCCGATGCTCTGGCAAATCAAATTCAATAGCATTTTATAAATCTTACCATAAACATCGAAATTAAACACGACTAGTATTTGGATATTACACTATTGTTATCAACATAACTAAAGCATAAAGTCATCTCCTAGTCCTTATAGCGGGCCCATAAACAGCTATAAAATCAACTGGTTTTCGTAGCACGCGGATGGATGAACGTTCACTCGATACGCCGGTATCGAAAAGGCAACTGTGTGGTTTGTACTTTGAGAACGATGCGATTCTAAAGCTGAGACCAAAAGGAACTTGAGACCCAAAGCATATATATATCTATAAAATCCTGAGGTAAGAAACAACCTCTAATTTGAATAAATCTCTTCAAGTCGTGATCCGACAGCGCAGATCCAAATGTGGACAAATATATACATAAATTAGAAGATCGTTGACCTATCAAGCCCGTGAAGTAACCATTTTAAATACTGTTACAACATTTTTACATTATAGTAGGCATATATGTTGCATATTGGATAAGTTTGAGGCTGGATGGTCAAATATTCAGCGATATTTTAAAAGATGTCAACATGTTGACACTTGAGAAGTATTGCTTGCTTACTTGAATTAGTTTAACAATAAGCTTTCTAATTGGCGAAAAAGATTCGTCAGTTAATCGAAATCAGGGATCAATCAATCGATGTGAAGCAACGTTCTCTATATTTCTTTTTAATTCAGGAAATAAAGTCAATTTATATTTGAATTTTCTCTATTAACTATGTGTTTGACTTACGAAACAAACACCAGCTATGCAGAAATTCATAACAGATACGTTTCTTCACTAAGTGTATAAATTCTTGTTTTTGTTCTATGACAATTGTCATAAACAGACACACTTTGGACTCAAGGTCTCTCCATATACAGCCTCGTTACTACATTTTCCTTCGAACGTGCAGTACCTGGACTTGTTTCTCACGTCTTTCAAGCTCTCCTTCCCAGGAAGCTAGGAAGGACTTTACTTGCTCTTGCTTAGCAGCAAATGCCTAAAATAGACAAAAAACATTAGTTGAAGCAAATTATCAATTAGTTGAATTTAAGCTAGATAGGTAACCAATGTTAATATACTAGTCATATATATATATATATATATATATATATAAGTGTATATATACATTTGAATGCTAAGTGCCAGCATAACATAGTATCTCGCAATTGGTTTCGTTCGAAACGTTTGTTTGAGCCAGTCTATTATTGATTTAAAGCATGTTATCCTATTAATTTGTTGTATTAACTTGTTGAACAGTCTGAGTGCTTGTCTTGTCAGCAATAACTTGCGTAGCGAAGGACCGGTGCTCTCGCAGGAGCAGATGTCGGAAATCTTCTTGTTCGTCGGTGAAGGAACGAAGTTCTTTACGTAGGCGAGCGAGTTCCGCACGAGTCCCATCGTTGGCCTATATGGACACATTCAGCACACTTATCATGTGGTACTGGAAAGTTACAATCATAGTACCATATCTTCGTAGCGTCGACTATAATGTAGGTAATGCTATATTTAAAAACTGCTTTTATGATGAATTTACAGTGTTAAGAGACGTGTATGGGACATTATTATAAATACTACTATCGAGGTGCTGTCCCCCCAATGCACAACAAGACACCTTAAAAATATCCTTTTATGTTTCGAGTTTTATGTCCGGCATCGCTGTTAAGCTTTCTGTCAGACGGCTGGCTACCAATACGAAACGAACCGTGGATTCGAACCTAGATCACACCGTGTTCCTAACCTTAACTATATCTAAGCATAAGTGCTCTAACTTAGGCAACGCCTAGTACAGCCAATGATTGTACTGGCTTTATCCTAGCCTTTGTTGTCACGACGACAAGTAAACATTTCGACTCATAATCTTCGTTCAGTAGATAAAATAGTAATAAGAAGAAAAACAGTAATAATAATCTAAAAATGAGCATCATCATGAATAGCATTGTTTTGCAGAGGAGTCATCGACCTGAAGAGCAAAGTAACTATTGGGAGGCCTACTCCAGGCTATCAGGTTTGCAGCCAGTAAAGTTAATTAGGTGCATGTCATAATTCAAATCCACCAAAATTATCGACAAGCACTTGTTTATGTATATATATGTTTACTTTTCCTGCCGCTGCGGTTCTATACCGTTTTTTTAGACACTAGTAGGGGGTAAGCACTAATCAACTCAAAACTGAGGATAAATTTTAAGAGTGTGTGATACCTAAAATACCGCCCGTCTCTTAGCAACTACTAAACTAGATACAATTATTGTTTTGTAAATATAGCGTGCGCGCCGGAATTGTTTTCAGCTTTTTAATTCATATTGAGCACAAATGTGCTCTGAGTGTTTGATATCTTACCTCCGAAACATTCTCTGCAATAGTACGAAAGTGCTGTATTAGGTCATCAATTGTCGTAGCTCCGGCTAGCCGTTTCTCCATTAGTTGCAAACGGCGTTCGAGTTTTTCGCAGAAGTCCGACATCAGTGAGTGCTGAAGACCTTCCATAACGGCGACTGAAGACGCAGACGAATGTACTGATATCAAATTATGAGACATAAACTCGCTTTTCGTTTCCAAGAAATAGTTCGGTTATACACGATATCAAGAACTTTCCACTTTATAAATGTATTGCTGATGACTTTTTGGTAGAATTGATTTAAATCGAATAGTGACGAGCATGCGCATCGGTGTTAGTGTACTATATTGATCACTGTTAAAATTTTAATAAGATAAACTAAAACGGTATACTTATTTTCAGATTAACTTAAAAAATAATGTTGGTATTGCTAAGGCGGCATTGCGGATGCGGGCGAGGCCAAAGTTACTTTCGAGAAATCCTTTCAGGGACCTTTTCAGAAAATCATACTAGTCACAATTGTTGCCACACTGAGGAGAGATGAGGTGCAGGAAATCGAAATGGAAGATGAACTACAGTTGAGATCACAAAACAATTTAGTCGTTCCGGCGTCAGGCACTTCTGAGAGAAACCTAAAGTAGTCTCTCATTGGAAGGTAAAGGGAAATCACTGCTAGATTACGTGCCTACATAGATCAAATATTCGATATGAGACGTTGCAAATAAACGGGCTCAGAGAAACTCTAACCATATAACTTATCATACTATCTGCAAAAAAATAAGGAGCAATAAAGGCACTGTCTTTTTTACAACTGTGATGTGGCAGCGCAACGACCTACTTGTTGACTAGAGAACAATCGGCTGTTCGCCTCATGATGTTTGCTCTCAGGTTTGATAAAAGTGATAATTTTCTTTCGGACAGTATAATTGATTAAGGAATATTCAGTGCTGGTGGAGTCTACTGATACGCCTCTTCTGTGTTATTGTAGGTGCATTCTAAGATAACTCTCTACAGGTTCCTCGAAAAATTGTTTTTGTACATTGCTATTCTTAACATAAAATGTAGAAAGATGTTATAGGAGACTAGGTTAGAGAGCTACAAACACCATTTTAAATCAAGTAGAATAAGAGGCTGGCTTTTACGTGCTTCCGGAATTTCTGTGGCGCTCAAAGGACAAGGTTTCCGTCTTATCATTCTGTTTAGATCTTCGTCACATGTTATAGTCGTATTAAATGAGAAGCTTTAGCGAACTAATTGAAATGGTCTTTTAACATATATGATTTTTTTACAGGACCAAAATATGACGCAACGATCCCAGAAGCTTTTACAATTCTCTTTTACCTTAGTAAACTAAGGAACTTTAAAACAGGTATTTACACATGAGCTAGTTTTCAGTGTTTAATTAGTCATAATCCGCGAATGAACGTACGCAAGAGTATGTCCGTTAATAACATTGACCTACCGATAGACTGAATTCGTGTCGTTATATCCCTAATGGCGCGACCCTGGTCGAATGCCTTCATTACCTGTTGTAAGCAAGCACCGTCATCGTTATCCTCAATACGGAAACAATCCAGCGACAGCTGTATTAAAAGGAAGCTCGAATAAAATAACTAAAAAAGTCACCAACGACTAAAATGCATTGTACAATATAGTACGGAGCATAGATAAATGCTTGATAGGCTGTTTGATTCCTCTTAACAGTAAGCGAATGCTTGGATAGACCATTCTCATAAGGATACGTACGTTAACATAATTTAGTTAAAAAAACAATTAAAAGGAATTAGAATGCAATAAGCTTATATCGTACCTGGTCTATTTCTTGCTGTTTAGTACGCTCCACTAGCATGAGTTCCTGTTCGTGTTCGGTACGCATCTTCTGCACAACCAATCTGAAACGTGCAGCATTTGAACATAATGCAATCTTCCCTTGATTGTAAAACGGTAAGGCCTGCTAGTTAAAATCGCATTACACTTGCAGTAAGCGTGTAGCAGAAAGGTGGACGTGCACATAGTTTTAGTTCGTTGATGAAAGGAACATTAGATTGTTATGGTGATATCCTTCGAAGAGCGTTAATAGCAAATTATTGATGGATTTGAGTTGTTTGTGGAGAAAAAGCGAGAAACAAAGAAAAACTGACAATGAATATGGTCATCAAACATATCGTAATATCACAGTTTTGTAAAGCACCGCAAGCTGATTAAAAAGTTTGAAGGAAATTTCCACTAAACCATTATCAGATTTTTTCCACTAGAAGGAAAAGTCGTGTTAAATGCAAGTTTTTCACTTTGCCTCTTTCATCTAGACGAAGTTGAAAGGGATACGTCTATTAGAAGACGATTTTTGAGAATGCTCATGAGCCGCTTTGTTTCCGGTTCAGCGATACTCCCAAACAAAAACATTCATAATAACAGATTTCCATGAGGTACAAGTATATCACACCCGTTGACCCGATTAATTCTGTCCACCATTGCTTCGTAGCGGGTTTTAAGCTCAGCTTCAAAGTCTTCCCTCCTTTGAGCTTCTTTTATGCGATCTTGCTCTTCCTTGGCCAATCGCTTTTCTTCTTGCAGACGTCGTTCCTCTCTATCTTGACACTTTTTCTTCTGGATCTGAGAAAACTCGTTCCTAACAGATTCGAAAAATAGATCTTGAGCCTGTCGAATATTTTGCAATTTCTCCTCGATTTTGCTTTGCCATTCGGAAATTTTCGATTCTTGAGCTTCGCTACGTTCATTGTCCTTTTGTTCCAGCATTGATTCCTTCTTTTCAAGTTCATCTTTGAGTTTTTCAATCTGAAAGCAACATCCGAGGAATTAGGTTGGATGACCCTGTCCAACGGTTGACCATTCCTTGTCTGAATTTGTAGATTGACATTCTGACATATAACTGCAATATGTTACTCGGATTTGTAAAATCAATGCTAGTACTAAGACTGACTGTTATTTCGTTAGAACACAAATACTTTCAATTCGTTTTTAGTACTTCATTGTTTGTTTGCTTTAACACATACACCATTCGAACATGCCCCCTTCGTAATCTTTAAGTCCGTGGAAACTTTGTTGAACGAAATTTTATGTGGAGTTCAGGCTCTAAAAATGTAGTTTCCAGGGTACAAATATGTAGTTTCGATATTTGCCCTGTTGCATTTTTCGATCAGGTCAAACAAGACAGAATATGTGTGACTTAGTAACTGAAAGGATGGCTGAAAAGTATTTTGCGAAACTAAATAATGGCATTTTCCCATTCTACCATCTCAAATTGGCACTTTTGAGGAAGGAAGAGGGCTGACAAACAATTCGTGAATAGGGCGAGGAGATGAAGTGGAGCCATATGACTATTGTCAAGTATCTTAAATCCAGGGAATTGACTTTAAAATGAGGAGCCTAGGTGCCCTATAACTGAGTCAACATCATAAAGAGAAACGGCTTCCCATCGACTATCAAGATCTCGTCTCGTACTGAAAAACGCACAGTTGCAATAACAGGCTTCTGCACAGAATTGTGTCGCGAAGCGCGATGTGTCCACGTTGAGGTAAAGCAGAGAATCGCAGCCTTCAGCTTCTAGAGAAATGTTTAAGTCCACAGTTAAGCCGTATCAAGGAAAACGATGATTTGCGTTCAGTGGAACTTGAAGTCTTATGTAGTGAAAAATGTTTGACAACGATATAATAGTCAAGAATGATCCGTATATGGCTAGCTGTGTCAAGTGAACATAGCTATTTGAATTGAAAAATGCTGCTACGCACGGCAAAGTTATCTTCCTCCACAACAATGCCAGGCTGCACGACGCAAAAGTTTGCAAAAACCATTCTAGGAGAGTTTTAGAAAAAGATTCTTTTGCACCCTCTGTATCCGTCATACCTTTCTCTGAGGAATTACCAGCTTTTTACATCACTAATTAACAATGAAGAGGATCTTAAAATCGCTCTGAACAAGTTCTTCAACGCAGAACCTAAACATTCCTAGCGAGACGTAATACATAAATTGGTCGTTATACGTAACGTTTTGGCCTAACGCTAATATCTTCATTTGTGATAGTTACGTAAGTGTAGTTCTGTATAATCTTCCTCAAATACTTTATCGTATTTTCATATCATGACTGCATTACAACATACCTCCAATTCATACTGTTTAATTAAATCATCCACATCAGTGCGAGTATGTCGGGCTTCTGTTGACCTTGTTATGGCTAAGTTTAAATTGCCATTAGCATAAGTATCCTGCTCCTGTAAGGATGAAGTTTAGAGCAAAAATCAATAAAATATACATTGTTTCTTAATAAACGTTTGTCAGTTAACCTTTAGAGGCTTGATTTCATATAATCAGTATGTGAGTTTAATTGTTTCAAGACACGTGGCTGGTAACAAAATGATTAATTATAATCTAGTAATTATACTGTAAACGTCTGTGTCTGAAAGCAATGAGTCCTCGAGATTTAGCATCAACGATTAGCCTTTTTTGCACGTATGCTCACCTTCGACGAGTACGTCCGACTTCTATCGTCAACATCGTCAGTGGACGCTGCCATCTGGAGATCTGCTACAGACACTTTTTTTATATCTATTTCCGCAAGACTGTCTACGTCAAGTAGGGAGCTCTTGGGAATCGTAGAACGCTCCCTTATGGAAGCAGCTGGTACTAAGGGTCTTTCCTGCGGCGGGCTGCTCATAAATAGCATATTAAAACCAGATCGAGTATTTAAACCTCGTTTCGATAATCTAGCCCAGTAACAGCTAACACTTAGTAATAGGTAGTTAAAATATTGAAAGTAGTGCACACTTGGAGGTAATAATTAATTCATAAAACAAATTTGGATAGGTGGAAACTATAAAGGCAAGGAAAATAATGTTCTATCTATTCATCCTACACCATTATTGCGGTCTCTCACAAGCTCTATTATTGCGTGTGCTTTATTGCCAAAAGGAAGTGTAAATGAAATTAGTAGTTAAAAGGAACAAAATTTTCAAATGAACGTTTTTTCCGTCATCGAGAAATTTGTTAATCCGTTTAATTATTCACAGAATAGAGTCTATTTTAACTGTTAGAGCGCGTGTTATGTAGTATTTAAAAATACGAACAGTATCTCCTTCGCCCCGGCTAAACCCTCTTCGATTCAGGAAAGATACAACACAGGGGTTACATATTATTATAATATAAACCTAACCCTGCGATTGATTCGACAACAATAAACTAGCGGATCGTGATTAATTTCTATATGTTTCGTGTTTTACGGCCGGTATGGCCAGACGGCTGGCTCCCAGCATGAAACGAACCGTGTGTCTATGACCAGGTTAGAAGCTAGACCACAACATGTCCCCAAGATTTGCAGGCAAGTACGTTACCTACTAGGCTACCACGGAGACTATCGTAGTTAAGCTACCTTGCCACTGGCTGTTTAGATTCTTTTTGTTTGTCTTTTTCGGCAGATGGTATCGGTGTAGCTGATGGACAATTGCCCCCTTCTGACAACTCGTCGGAGTCTTCCGAATCTGTTGATATGTGCTGTAAGCGAATTCGGGAAACAGTGAAGTCTCTTGTCAGTCTTCCTTCTTACAAATCTATCTAGGCATCTCAATATTAATAATATCCTGTAACAATAGTAATCATCATCATTACAATTTTCATCGTTACATTGAGGAAATTAGCACGCATTTCGGTTATTCAAGCTATGTTTAGCTGCCTGTTACGTTGAAGTTAAGCAATTTCTTAGAACCATTGTGCTGGTTCACTTTCTTCTTAACATTCAAGTGAAAACCTCGAAAAATACTGAGAATTTTTACCTCATTTGAAAACGTAAAGCACAATTTAAAAATTATTTATGTGACGTTATTTGAAAAACAATTTCATCTATTTTCTTAATTAAAACAAAAACAGATTTTGTAGAGCGAATATTAACACCTCTCAATCCTGAACTGAGCCTACAATAAGCGTCGTTGAACTTATGATGAGCGAAAAAATTAGCCATTGTTACAGATTGCCGGAAATTTCGTGCACAGCTGTTATCGCTGCGTTTAAATAAAGATTTTCAGTTTCACATCCGGTACTAGCCAGTAAGTACTACTTCAAACGACTGGGCCCCGGTAGTGTGTCTAGACTAGCTCTGGTGTCTTTAATAGACCACCATAATACCGCTGCACAATTATAAACAACACTGTATTCCGAACTTTTTGAACTTCGCTGCTCCGGCTCGAGAAGTCGGCGCAGTAGTATTTACGGTTCTAAAATCGGTTATCTCATCTAGAAAAGTTGCACCGGAGCTCTACTATTGCCAACCTGCATGAAATATAAAGGCATAACTGCCTATAAATTACCTTATGTGAGGGAGAGGTTGCAGGTTTCGTTGCCTCGGATGTTGTAAGCTGTTTTGTAAAAGGAGCGTATACCTTCGGCTCAAACGTGGCTTTTCTAGCCTTCATTCGAAAAAGAATGGCATCCAACGGGTCGACCGCATTTCCTTCAGCTTCTGATGAATTTAGTGTAGAATCTGCGGCTTATATTAAAATAAGGTCAAGGCTACAATCAGTTAAAACTCCAAATCAAACAAAAGTGAAGTCCATTTAAGAAGTTGCATAATAATGTAGCTATATAGAATTCAAAATTCCCCTCTATTTAAAACCAGAAAAGAGGTGTAGCAATAAATGTCGTACTATACGCGTAGTTGTATCGTTAGTATTAGGAGTGCTAGAATTGCATTACTAAAAAAAAAAAAAGAAAGAAAAAAGAAAGAAAAGCTGTAAATACAGTAAAAGCTTTGAACCACACTCGAATTTCCGCTTTCTACACGATTACGGCCTATGTATAGGAACTACTTAACTTTTCTAATGCACAAAACATTCTTATGGGGTATTAATTTTATTAGGTGTATAATCACGTTCGGTGAGAAACTTCAAATTGCCACCTACTATAGTAACCTCACACTTAAAAACTAATCCCAATTCTGATTGTCTTGTAGTGAACCCTACCCAAGACGTCAACGCGCTTAAGTATCGTGAAAATGCAAACATTATCAGGTATACTGTTACTTGACAACAAAAGCTTAGGTTTTTTTTGCAGGAACGCCGCGAGGAAGTCTCCTACAAATACAGTTCGTTAGAAGAACAATTTGAGTAGCACAGAAAATAACATTTAACTGATAAAACGCCCAAATATTGGTTACCCTACAAATGGCTAGGCTATCTGTAACAGGAGCTGGTACATGTTTCAAATCATTATGTTCTGATAAGGGAATACTGCTTTTAAATGTGTTCTTGAGGTACATGCCGAACGAAGATTAGGCGTACTTCTTCCACCGATCGCATTTCAAAAAGTAAATCAGTTGTGCATTTTTTTAATTTTATTATACGTCGGTTAACTTGTAAACAAGTTGGACTTCTTAAATGCAAACACGATATTATATAGGCTGAAGTTAATGAAAACCGAATGCTTTATTTGTACTGGCAGTGGTCCACTTCATCGTAGGGATCTAGAGTGCAGCTGCGTGACTCAGCGCAGTGTGTGTCTGCTGATGTGATGTTTTGTGCTCATTTAATATAAACTAGTTTATCTGATAAGAAAATTGGACAAAGTATGATGCTTTACTCACTCTCAGTTCTCTGTTCTGTAGATTTCACACTGGGTCGTCTTTTCTGTACTGGAACGCCCTGCGACGTAGCTGGGTGCCTTGCTTTCAGCCTGGAAGAAGCTCCACTCCCAAAGAGAGCATCTAAGAAGCTATTGCCACTATTAGCCGCTCTTGAAACAGTTGCTGGGTTCGGTTCTATTCCAGAATCCCTGTAAAGTAAATAATATCCCTGTATAGTAAATAATAAGTAGATCGCAATCGACTTCTACAGGCCGACTGAGTTCGAACATAATTCAACAAACAATTCCAGAGAGGTAATTGATTTGTGACAACATCACCTAGCTCATAAAAACCATTGCACCTTTTTGATACTGGTTTATCATCGTCAAACAGAGAAATAATCGGCTTTTGTTTAAACGAAGTTGTGCTTGGCGACGCAGAGGTTGTGATCACTTCAGCCGGCTGAGATCGCTTTGATGCTGTCTTGCTTCTATCTTCTTCAATGGCGTGTTTAAGAAGATCGTCCAGTTCGTTATCAAAATCTAAAAAGAGTAGGGTGACGGAAAACACGACGATATCTTAGTCATATGCATCAATTAACAACTGTAATACTAAATAACGCCGGTTCAATAGCTATATGTAAAAGCTGTTATAAGTCTATCACTGTTGGACCGGAACAATCGTCATAGACAGTGCAAAGACCCTACAGTTAAAGAACACAAAACAATGCCAATAAAATACGATTGAGAGAAAATAAATACGAGAGAAAAACTTGACGCAAACGAGCTACTAAGGGGTCATGCTCAAATCGGAGGAAGCTTCGGCAACATAATGTTTGCCATAATGGACGTGAATTTACCCGCTGATCCTAGTTCTAGGTAAAAGCCGAGTTCCTTTTAGCACAAAAGAATGAACTCGTCGTAGTGAACAACGTCACGGTGCGTCATTTTTAGAAATCGAACAGAAGCGAGTTTTTTCGTGCTGGACGGATCCCCAGCAAAACTGACTACTTCAATTTTTTGCTCGAATTCTTGCTCGCTTTCATGCGGCCCTTAATAAACCTTAAAGAGACTTAAATATGGCAAACCAAAAGATCGAAAGGCTCAAAAAGTCATATTTCATAGACCTAGGCTTTCGCAACAGGATTTTACAGCTGTTTAAAAAGAAGAACACTAATTGCTAATTGGGTTGTCCAGATGTCCCAGTGATAGCTTAGTGGGTAGCGTATTTGCGTGCTAATCTTAGGGACACATAGTGGTTTAGGTACGAACCCGGACAGACTTTGATTCATGCTGACTCTTAACCGTGTGATACAATGCTTAATGGCGACACCGTAGTCAAGATACGTAAAACTCAAAACAGAACGGTCCTTCACGTTCTTTGCACCTTTTGAATTTTTTAACAAAATATGTTTATGTACTTTATGTGCTTGCGTTTTTGCGAGCTTTTAGCTTGCTATCAGTCTAGAATATAATTCTGTTGGAACTTTTTTATAGATGAGCGACGCTTTAACAAGTTCCAAGCTACAAATGCACATCGCACGGTTATTTTTCAAAGCTTATTTCTGGGTTAAAGAAAAGTATTGAAAAGTTACCTGGTTAGTGGCTCAAATTCTTAATAGGGGGTATAACCGCAGTGAATAGTAGTTATGTCGGATGAACATGACCGGCAAGAATAAGGTTTCTAGTACATTCAAACAAATCTGTTTAGTGATCTGTTTGTGGTCAGACACAGTATTGGAAATAAGAATTTGTTTTTTTATTTGAACGCATTATCCTACGCATATATTTGCCTGACGCTGTCGTTGAAAATAACCGGTGCCACGAGAAAGAAAGAAAGAAAGAAAGTCGTATTCGTATACTCACCAATGATATTATGTGCCCTGAATGGACTAATAAAAATTAAAACATATTTATTGGGGATACTTATGTCGTAGGTCCATAGGGCGAGGTTAGATGGCCCATTTATAAGCCAGTACAATTAAGTTAGTTTTTTAACAAAACTGACGAAAAATGCTTTTCGTCCTTAAATCTTGATGCGCTGTAGCAATAAAGCCGTTAACATTTTTCTCTAAAAGTAGCCATTTGTGACATATTGGCAAAAATGGCCTAAGGTAAAACGAGCGCGAAAATAGTGTACCTAGATTTAACTCGACGTATATATGCATTTCTACCAAGCTGAGTTGTACTCTGTATATTAAATGTTTATTATATTTATATATATTAATAAATATACGTCTACGTTTAGATAAGGGGTAGCTATGAAATGCTCGTTCCTCTTAGCTACTACGAAAGCTACGCCTGTCTGCTTTATTTTCGATGCATGGTCATATGGCCAAGGGTGCAAAAGAGTTGCTCGAATATCTTGCTGATTGTGGGTCGGACCCAATGGTTTTGGGATTACTATGGGCTGAGAAGTACAAGCGGCTCTCGGAGGGACAGAAATGACCACCGGACCACGTCGTGAGGCGGACACGTAGACATTTGCGAGAAGCAGCCTGGTTTGATTTCAGTACTGATTCAAGGGACACGCACGAAAGCTCTGGAGTAAATCTCTACAAATGTTTTCTTATGACGGAGGTTGGCTCGCCTAAGCTGTTCCTCTGTCGCCACAAAGCGGCAAATGAACCATTCAGCGAGTTCGTAAGGCCAAGTGGTCCCTGCTATATGCGCTGGGTTTAAAAATCGAGTACGCTTATTGGTAGCATTTGAAAAACGGCGAAAAAGGTCGGCACCTTTCTCTAATTTTCTCACCACGGCCAAGGTAACGTCTTATGCTGAGTTAGCCCGCTTTTTGCAAAGCAACATACCACAAAAGTCTGCTACTTGTTAACCGAAGATTCCCGAGCGAACTGTACAAGTTCTGCAATACGTAGGTACAACCTGGCCCAACAACGGGGATCCAGCTCGAACTTGGATGGCTCAACAGCACAATCGCCCTCCATAACGATGACGACCTCGAGGCAAGCAAATCGAAAACTATGGGTGACAACAAATGTATTAAAAAAAGGTTAGAAAATAGACGGCTGTTTATTCAAGCAAGGCGTCTTCTATCAGTTCGGCCCAAAGAAATTATGATGCGTTTCTTACGAGCAGCCGAAGCCTTGCTACTTTCTGAGCGTTGTCAGGTTCATTCAAGTGTACAAAGAACTATGTGGCGTTTGACGGCGTGCTATTATTCAAACCGAAGGGTTTGTCTAGAGTGCATGCGTGCGTACATACCGACCGCGACGCGTGCCAGTTTGCGGCAGAAGACACGGAAGTACGTGTCTCCGTGTTCTAACGGATGTTCTAATCCGCCATTGAAAGAAGATTAGCAACGTGAATTTTTTTGTGAAGGACGATCAGCTTGTATTACTACAAGTACTCTCACGTCAAATGGATGTAGGTCAATGTAGTAAGGGACCCTCCTGTCCTCCGAGGCCTGTTACGGCGGATTCGTTAAGGCACCCCGATGGCGTCGAAAGCCAGTAGGTGTTTTATCAAACAATGAGCTTAAAAGACAATAGAGTCCCGCCCGGCCCGTGCCTCTAGAAGCCACGAAAATGTCTACATAAAGCAACATGCACTGGGCGCTAGAATATGTCGGCCCCAAGATCAAGATATTCAGTGCTCATTCCGATAACAGAGCTAAGTCAGTCCACTTAGCATATATAATAGGACTGATTTAGTTTTTGACAAAACTTCTGACAAATGTCTATAGTTAACCAACACAAATTGAAGCATAACACTTATATTAAACAACGCTTATTAGTTCTTCTACGTTTAACATAGGCCGTTCTGTATTTTACAATGGTTTAATAGAACTCAATATTTGTTTTAAGTTCCCAAACCGTAATCGCTAAAGGCGGAACTTGAGGCATTGAAAAGTTAAGATTGACTAAATAACACTAGAGGAGTGTATCGATATGAAGCTGTATAGGTTTGCAAACGAAGTTCGTAAGTTGAGTGCATAGTATTCAAACATTCAGAGAGAAGAAATACTGCAATATTTTAAATGCTGGTCATTCTTGCGGATTATTCGTAATGCTATATTAATTACTGTGTTAACATATATATCACAATGCTAATTTCGTGTCATAATTTCAATTATATTCATAGTGAACTTCCTCAAAGCCCAAATTCGTGGGCGTAAAACGTTTCACATTGGGCATAAAATAATGGTCCCGGAAAGAGTGTAACATGTGTGACATAGATCTGGGACCGGTGAGTACAGTGGCACAAAAATCAGATTCCTTTATGCACAGTTTTTCCGGTATTTAAGTTCTATTATTTGACATTTTTGGAAGTATTGAAGGTTTTTTTGCTTAAGTCTAAGCATCGTCCAATATAACATTTGGTACGATTGCTCACTTTTTTTGCATGCTGTAGCACTAATGTGGTCTCTGTTGACTTTTCGTATTACTGAAAATTGTTAGAGGGTTTAAATAATGACATATTTGAAAACATTTAAGTAGACAAATGAATTAGGCAACGCGCGTTTATAGGATGGTACGGTTTTACTGGCAATTGAGGTTGACAAGCTTGTCCTTCAATGTTAGTGTCAGAGCGTACTTTGAAGAAAGTGCCATTTTCTACTAAGAAACGTATGATTCATACTGTGAAAAGATTCGACTGGTAGAACTGTACGTCAGGGTGAACATTTTCGATTATCTTTCGAGCGGATGAAGCTCCAACTGATACTACTCCGTATATATAGGCACGTAGGCACGCAATTTTTCCAGCTCTTACACCAGAAGTGGTCATGTATGCTGGAATTGAAAGTAACGAGAATAGAGCGCAATTGAAAATAGTCGGCTTATCTGCCCAATTAAAAAAAAAAAGGCAATTCTGCCACCTTCTGCAATAGATGCCCACTATTGAACATAAACGCCAGACCCAGTGTCAGACGAAGCCCTATAATTAAGCTACCTACTATTTCTTGTTGTATAAGTAATGTTTAAAAAAGAAGGCTGAAATGAATAAAAGTTATGAAAAAAAACACTAGGGATGTCCTGTATATCTTTTCAAGTTAAATCGTACATAAACCGGTATAAACGTACCATCGAAGTCATCCATAGTGCCGACACGCGAGGAATAGCAGTCCGTTTTGTCTCAGGTATCTCAATCCTCTGCATCATGTGTTACCAAGGACAACAGGCGAGAGAGGTGGAAGGAGGCTGGGCAGTCCGGGTTAGTCCGAATCGTATGGTGGGCTTCCGAGCAGCATCGTGTTTCACTGTGGGTCTCAATTCCTCTAAAGGCTATATTTAAACTCCAGCTACTTTCCCGTGCGTTTCTACGTCTCCGCGTGGAACAAACATCTATGTGGTATGTACTATTACATATGTATACTCGATAGCGTTGCATTAAATACTAATTGAACGAAAACAGCTTTTAGGTGTCGATAAATGGCCTAAAAAATAGTCGAACTGATGGGATACGCAGTAAAGAGGAAGTCCTACAAAGTGTGCGGAAACTTACAACAAGCCTTTTAAGTGCTAGCTATAGTTTAGGTAAATACTTTTGTCTAGGTGACTAACAAATAAACAGAACAATATATCAAGCTTAGAAAACAACAGACATTACTTGGACGACTAGAAAAAAATCAAGATGCCATCTGTTGCAAGACACAAACTTGGAAATCACGTTTTATAATCTATGCAATGTAATTATAATTCGGTACTACGGTTGAGCATTGTTTCAAATGGATGGCCTGGACCTGTAGCCACCTGAACATTATTATCAAGATTCTATACTCGAATACAGCTTTTTTCTTATTTAGGATATTTGACCGGGGCTAGGGCCTTCCAGTCGTCAAAAAATGAAAGCCGCTAACAAAACAATCTAATTTTCATTTATTTGAATATTTGATATATCCATAAAATGATATTTTATCGCATACAGATCGTATGCATATGGTTGCACCGTAATAGGAACGAGCAGGCAATCTATTCTAGCGAGCATGACCATTGTCACACATAGCTTTATGAACTTTTTTACGTATACGATAAACTCGTATGAACTCATACATGTATATCGTTCTTAAATAATTACTTATAACGTTTGTTACACATATTTATCAACTAGAAACGGACTGAAACAGAAATAGAATGTTTTTTTTTTATTTTTCCTGGATAAACGGGTCACAAAACAAGGTGTAGGCTATCATGGCTCTCAATTTTGGTTCGAGATTTGAGTTCGTATGAAATATCTATATCATACGTATTGTACCTTAGGGGACTTTGTTGCATAGAGAGACAACGCGCGAGCATGGCCACATATTGCGCCACCTATGGCAGCTTGGCATGTGTCTAACAAACTCATTTAATGCAGAAAACACAAGGGTTATATTACCTAAAAAAACACACACACACACACCTTTTCAGGTATTCTGCTCCGTGTTAAAGTTAAACAACTGAAGTTTTAGTTAATTAATAGTAATAAATTACTATATGCCTTTGTAAGAATTGTACTGATGATAGTGTCCTCCTTTTTGGGTCTGATGGCGTTGACCCAAAAGCGTTCCATAAACTATTCCAAGGCTGGCCCCACCGGCCGCTGCAGCAAGTAGTGGAACTCCCGCTTTCCTAAAAATCTTGTCACTTAAACCGGCCCACGACACAGCTACCAGCTGACTCAAGATTACCATAATGACGAAAAGACGGATCCTACGCATTGTACTTATTGAGATATCGTCGCGGCGTACTTTTACAGATTGTCGCAAATGGAAGCAGGAGACCCCACTGGAAAAATAGGCCTCAAACCGATGATTCCAGTCACGCGGTTGGAGACGAAACGCCAGTTCGTGGGTATCCCTTGTAATTACTTCACTTTTCCAAATG